CTCCATCATGCCCTTGGAGATTTTTTCAAATGTTCTGGCATTTCGCCTTTTGGAACGTAGTTCTGCTAGCACTGAATCCTCTCCCCATATAGCGATCAGATCCAGTATCTCCCGTACGGTCCATGCTGGTGCTCTTTTTCGATTCTCGGACTGCATGGTTACCTGTACTGATGAGCTCTGCATAGTCACCTGTGCTCTGCACGCTGGGCAAACAGGAAATGTAATTCAAAAGTTTGCGGGGCTTTTCCTGTCTACCTGGCCAGTGCATCCAAGTTCAGATTGCTGTCCACAATGGTGCACTGTGGGATAGCTCCCGGAGGCCAATACCGTCGAATTGCGGCCACACTAACCCTCATCCGAAATGGCAATACCGATTTCAGCACTACTCCCCTCATCGGGGAGGAGTACAGATATCAATATTAAGAGCCCTTTATATCGAAGTAAAGGGCTTCGTTGTGTGGACGGGTGCAGGGTTAATTCAGTTTAACACTGCTAAATTAGAGATAAACTCCTAGTGTAGACCAGGCCTTAGGCTAGGTTGGTTTTGGAGAGAAGAAAGGAAATTCCATAATGTGGACTCATTGGCCCAGCCACCCCCAGAGCACCCTTCCCTACACAGGCTCTCCCATCGGGTCACCATCCATGCCTATGCAAAACCAACAAGGGACATGGCTCTGACCTGGTAGTGTCTTAACTTCCCTTTGCACAGGTGTAAGTGACTCTGCAAGATGCAGGCCAATGGGGCCCAATAGGAGCTGCCCTGTGTACCTCCAGAAGTCACAGGAAAGCTCTTCTCCCGCAGAAGTTAGGAGCTATGAGGCAGGAGCTCACGCAGGGCACTGCTTCACCTGTCAGACACACACACACGCAGTGTGACCTTCCCCAGCTCATGTACAATTCATGAGCTGAGGAAGAAAGCTCCAAGCCAGAGGTACTGCACGTGCACAACTCTTATAAATCCCACAATGGGGGTATACACAGGAAATCAATGTAATCGATTATTTACAAATTCACACACACACCCCAACAGAGAGACAGGAATGGTCATCACTTTACACGGCACTAGACAAGTACATAGGCAATGAGCCCCCAAAAGGAGAAACAGCATTACAATTTACTAAGCGAAAGCACATTAGTAGGTGAATAAAAGAGCAAAACTTTTTGCCTGGCAGCTGCAGAAGGAAGAAATTCAAAATGAAACTAGGATGAAATTCACTCTCATGTCCAAGCAGCTGATCCATGCACCTCCACTCAAGCCAAGGCGGACGCAGTGGGGCCCCTGCATTGTGGTTAACTGTCTTTCATTCACCACACACGAAGAGAAGTTAGCATATTTTATGTTTTTATCTTTCAGGAAGGTTTCCATGACTTCACTGCTTAGCATCCAGAAACTTAACACGCAAGAACCAAAAACAGAGAGAGACAAAGCAGGCTGCTCCCTAAGGCAGAGTGGCACAACTCACTGACTTTGCTCTTTGCAGACTGCCTGCTGAAGGCCCAGATCACATGCTTCTCTACAGAGCCCCTTAGCCTGCAAGCAGGCGTGGGAAACCCCTTACTCTTAAAGTGATAGCTAGTCATTTTAACCCCATTCTCAATACACCACAAACTGCACCCTTAATGAACTATTAGACTACAGTGACCAGACAGCAAGTGTGAAAACTCGGGACAGGGATAGGGGGTAATAGGAGCCTACATAAGAAGAAGACCCCAAAATCGGGACTGTTCCTATAAAATCTGGACATCTGGTCACCCTATATTAGACAAATCAAGAAATTAAAACCACATCCCCCCACACGGTTTGAAATGTTTTATCACACTCTCCTAACTGTAACACAAGAACCTATACAGACGTAGAGAGCATACTTAGCTGAGACCAGTTCTCTTCCACTGTAAGGGAGGATAACTGGAACTAGGCAATATGCTAACGTTTGCATGTTTCCAAAGCTATATTCCTCTTCACTCGGGGAAGGTCCTGGGGAGCTAACCCAAACGTTAGGAGCCTCCGACCTAGATCACTCCTGCATTCACCAAAGCATCAAGCTATGTCATTAAAACACCACGAAGAAATGAAGCTCACAAGTAAAGGGACTACAAGAGTTACGCTGTGATAGCAATATTCAATTTTTGGTACTTTTTATTCCTATTAGCCCTGCAGAGCCAATGCAGCTAAGACCGAGGGTCTGTCTTTGTTGCAAAAAAAGGTGCAACATGTAGAGCTGGGGAGAGCTCAATTGCTGTGAAATCCTACTGGAGACAAGGCACCGGTAGTTCTTATCTCAGTGTAGCCAGCTGAGCTCAGCCTAACTCCTCCATGTGGCATTTATCTCAACTAGCTATGTCAAAGTAAGCACTACCAGTGCCGTATCTCCATTAGGATTTTACATGGAGTTAGGTTTTTTGCTGCAGAGAAGACACAGGGTACATCAACACTGCAAGTTCAGGGTCCTATTTCCAGCTCAAGGAGCCATACTCAGCTAGCCCTCATCGAGCTAGTGTGCTAAAGATACAGAGCAGCCACTGCAGCGCAAGCAGTGGGAGCGGGTAGCCACCCTGAGGATGTACCTAGTGTCTCCGATGGGCACACACTTGCCATCCCACCGCTTGTGCTCCACAGCTACAGTCTATTTTTAGCACCCGATCTCCGGGGGAACTAGCGTGATTCTGTCTCCTCGCTGGGCATCGCCCACCCAGCTCCAAGGGTAGATACAGTGTATATCCATAGGTGCCAACTCCATGGGTGCTCCGAGGCTCAAGCACCCACTGAAAAAACATAGGGGGTGCTCAGCACCCACAGAGACGGATTACATGCATCTGACGAAGTGGGTATTCACCCACGAAAGCTTATGCTCCAATACGTCTGTTAGTCTATAAGGTGCCACAAGACTCTTTGTCGCTTTTTACAGATCCAGACTAACATGGCTACCCCCAATAAGAGACGGATTAATCTTTTGTGGGCCCCGCCCGCCGTGCTCTACCCCAAGGGCCTGCCCCCACTCATCCTCTTTCCCCTGAGGCCCCGCCCAGCACTCTGCCCCGAGACCCCATCCCTGCTTGGCCTCTCCCCTCGAGGCCACGCCCACCCTCTGTGGGAGAGGCGGTGGAGAGCAGCGAGCACCCACCAGCAAAAACAAAAGTCAGTGTCTGTGGACATATCCATAGCCTGGGCAGGCTGGATTCCAGCTCGCCTACCGCCCCAGCCAAACTGTTCACCACGTCTCCGTCAGACAAACCCACTGATGGCACTGGGGCTCCGCAGGGAACTGATGGCCTCATTCGAAGACAGCAGGGTTGCACAGATGTCCCCAAGGGGCTGGTGTGGCCCTGCCAAGCTACACTTCACCTGGGACTCTGCTGAAGGAAGGAAGGATCCCATTCAGCTCACAGCCTTTGCTACACGGGCCTTCTGGTCAAACATTTCCCACCATTGCTGCCTTGGGCTCAGTTCCCTGCAATGGTCGCAACACGAGAGCTCCAGCGGTGACAAGGCAACAGAGGCTGGAGGGTGGAGACCTGCTCTGAGCAGGGTCAGACAAGGTAGGGAGAGATTCCCGACCGGGGCAGGGGAGAATTCCCCCAGTGCAGGAGCAGCACATGGCGCGGGAGCCAGGAGGGCAGAGGCTAGTCAGCACAACTGATTTGGCTGGAGTGTCTCCACCCATCTTCCGCTCTAGGTGCAATACAGAGCGTTGGACACACAGAGGATGCAGCTGAGAGACACACAAAAACAGCTTCCTCCCGCTCCATCCCCAGTGCCCCAGCAATGCAAGCCTCCAGCCCAACTCCTCCCCCATTCTCCATCCCATGCAAAGGCTAGCAGACAAGGGGCCTGGGACAAGCATGGTCTCAAGGTTACAATCGAGGCTCCAACCAGGCCAGGTGGGAAGCCCATTTCACAGCCACCCACCCCTCCCGAAGAACACCCTGCACCAGGGGATTAAATGGACGATCTTTAGCTTACTGGCAGTGCAACTGTCTATGGCACTCAAACTGAGACACAACCAGACCCAAACATGACATGTCCGGTATCATTTCCTCACGTTGCCTTCACTCCTGCAAATCCACCTTCTTAAAAGCCCTCTCCCCCGCAGCCACCTTCACGCCTGCTCCCATGCTCCCACTCCTCCTGGGAGCACATAACGGATCAGTGCCAACCTCGGACACTACATCAGTGCAATGCTACGGCTCTCACTGAAACAGAGAGTTAATGCTTTCCTGGGAACTTTCCCATGCCCACCTTGTCTGCCTTGGAAAGGTCCCAAAATAGCTATGCCGGAATAAGAGTAAACCCACACAGGGCTTACAATGAAATAACGATTCCAGTCAATGCTCAAGTGTATGCCAGCGCTTAGAAACTGATCCACAAACTTTATACAAGGACGGCTACACCCGCCACTGAAACAGCAGCCAAGGCTCTGAAATGGAACCTGCCAGATGTCGGCCAGCCCAGCACTTCCCAAAGCATCTAGGTGTTCCTTCGGTCATCCATCCACCAGCTGAGCAGCGCCCCCTTCCAGCTACTGATCCCGACCAGCCCAGGTAGCCAGTGAGATCTGGCAGCCTCACAGCTTCAAGTATGGCTTCAGGACACCAAGCACCACCTTATCTGACTTGTCTATGGATTGGCCTGGGGGTGAAATGCTGCGTTATGGGGAGAGGAGCTTTGCTGGTGACACGAATGGTTCTAACTGGCCTGCCGTGCTAGCCCTCTGTCCAGTGCACATGGACTGGAGCTAAGGTGCATGTGAGCTGCCATGGGGAGTGTGTGCCCAGCCTTCCCGCAGCCAGCAATGGGGCTCCCTCCCACACGGCATGCTGCAGGGGGACAGCACAGCCCGGGATGGCAGAATGAGGCAGAGAGGGATCAATCACTGGAAGGGTCCCGAGAGCCACTCTGGGAGGCAGCCTGCATGGGGTTTGCACAGGAAAGTCACGTTTACAACCCGTCTGTGCTAAGTCAGCTTAGGAGGCGAGAAGGAGAAACCAGGCCCAGCACTTACCTTTTCCTTGTTGTAGCCCCTTCCATCTTGCAGCCCCTCTGCTTGCTCCTGGGGACAGCACCTCACTGACGCTCAGAAGCTGCGTAGAGAGAAGGAGAAGGGCCCAGGTGTTTCTAGCTAAAAGCACAGCGTCTCCCTGCAGAGGAGTCAGTCTCCTTCCTGCCTTGTTTGGCGCAGAGAGTCTCTATCCGAATCACAGAGCACAGGCTGTCCCAAGGCAGCTCACCTTGGAGCAGGCAGGCCGGGAGAGCAGCTAAACACAGAGGACTCACACAGACTCCCAGATGACTGGCTGGCACGGGTTTCTCAGCACAAGCTGAGCTGTCAGCCCTGCCGGAGGTGGAGCCCGGGACAGTCATCAAACAACCACACTAGCATGCTGTGTGCTGTACCCAGCCGCCCCCCAACCAGCGCAGAGCAACAAGGATTCCATTGAAGGGGAGCAGGACCCATTATGCAAGCTCCTGGGGTGGAAAGCACAGCCTCCAGCCCCACAAGTGCAGAGCTGCGAATGCTGCCATGCTGACGAGCGAGAGAGCCAGCCTGCTTTCTAAGCCCCCTGCCCACACACATCAGATGCCCAGAAAGGAGAATCCTGGGTCCCCCATTGGGTCCCTGCTTGATCTGCCACCCTCCCAGCCTTTGTTCCCCCCTTGCTGTGCACTGGGCCGGCTCCAGCATTTCTGCCGCCCCAAGAAAAAAAAAAAAGCAAGCCGTGATCGGCGGTGGCAGTTCAGCGGCAGGTCCTTCGCTCCTAGAGATAGTGAGGGACCTGCTGCCCCCGAATTGCCGCAGGTGCTGCCCCTCTCCCTTGGCTGCCCCAAGCACCTGCTTGTTAAGCTGGTGCCTGGAGCCGGCCCTGGCTGTGCAGGATCCTGTCTGAAGATGCCGTGCACCCGTGACATGCGCACACTAGGTTCCGGGGGTAAATGGACAGCATTACCCGGAGAAGCCCAGCTGATTATTACACCTGTGTCACAGCTCTATGGAAACAGTCTCCAGTGGGAGGTCACGTCACAGCAGCACGGTGTCTCGAAGGGGGCTGCCCTCCCTCTTCCCCCCCTCCCCCCATGCTGCACATTCCAGCACTCCGGGCAGGCTATTCTTGGTCTGGTCTCAGCCTGTGGTCTGGACAGAAACTGGGCCTGCAGCAGAGTCTGGAATTATCCAAAGAACGGCCACAAATCCTGCCGCCCACAGAGGAGGGACAGTGCAAACGCACTCCAAACAGTGGAGACGCAGAGAGCAAGACAGCCAGACGTCAGCTTTGTTACTCAGCCGCTTTCTCTGCACCACCAGCCTCCCTGCTGGTGCATCGCTGGCTGCAAACAACAGAGGCGTCTGTCTGATGCCATCACCCCTGAACGAATGCACCTCGCACTCCAAGTCAGCCGGACTGATTAGCAGGCTGTGGCAGCTGCACGTTCCCATCCCAGGGCTACCAAGTCCAACTCCACAAGCGGTACACACGGGAGAGATGCAGGCCTAGGCCTGCACACTCGGGTTTCCAGAGTTCGGCACCTCAGCATCAGGGGCCCGTAGGCAGAGATGCAGGCAGCTGCAGTTCCTCTGGCTCAGACGGGAGCTGTGGGTCCCAGCACCTCGGAGATCAGGCTGCTTCTGTTCTGGTGCCTAAATGAAGGGCAAAGGACCTAGGCTTAGCCCCCACATTTAAAAGGTCTGGGGGAAGTGACTTGTCCTAGGTCACTATCAGAGGGCAGAGGAGCCCCCCCAAGTTCCTGGCCTCCAGCCCCAAGAGCACTGAGCTGTCTCCAGGGGGCAGGGACAGGCCACACAGCGCTGTGCCCCTGCACTAGTGATCCCACCAGCCTGTCACTGGGTGCAAACCCCGAGGGCCTGGACTTGGGTCACCTAAGCATAGGAAGCCACGGGGCTGACTGAGCCCAAATAGAGGCCTGGGGAGCAGGCACCTGGCCCAGGAGAGTTGCACTCACCTGGAGCATCATGGCCAGAGACAGGGCCGGCTCCAGGCACCAGCGAAGGAAGCAGGTGCTTGGGGCGGCCAATGGAAAGGGGCGGCACGTCCGGGTCTTTGGCCACAATTCGGCAGCGGGTCCCTCAGTCCCTCTCTTCCTCTGAGAGCTGCCGCCAAAGTGCCACTGAAGAGGAAGAGAGGGAGCAAAGGACCCGCCGCTGAATTGCCGCCGAAGAATGAAGCGGCATGGTTGAGCTCCCGCCGAAGTGCCACCAATCGGCTTTAGCTTTTTTTTTTTTCTTTTTCGCTTCGCTGCTTGGGGCGGCAAAAAAGCTGGAGCCGGCCCTGGCCAGAGAGGAACTAACCTCCCTTCCCCCAGCACAGCTGGGCCTGAGGAGGTGGCAAGAGAGGCTAAACGCCAACAAGGAGCCAAGCAGAGAGGCGTAACAACGCTGCTGAAGGGAGGCTGAGTGGCGGGCTGGGGGAGCCCAGCCAGCAGCTGTGAGGGGCAGACATGGGTCCAGGAAGGAGGTGGGAATGCAGGGCAGTCTGGCAATGGAAGCAGTGGGAGGGGTGGATGAGTCACTGCTGCAGGGAACCCAGGGAGGGGCTACCAGGGAACCGTGCCATTCTGTGACAGGCCAAGGGCGGGGCCCAGGCTCCGAGGGGCAGCTCCAGACATGGGTCACAGCAGGCAGCTGGGCAGCCAAGGGGCTGTAGCTCAGGGAATCAGGGAAAATCAACAGGAGGGGCAGGACTTGAGGGAGGCAGCCCAGCTGCTGC